TGCTTCTAAATCTGAATTATATATATATATATATATATATATATATATATATATATATTATGTAGATATAATCATATATAATGATTATAATCATATATACATATATAATACATAAATACATATTATATATATATGTGTGTGTGTGTCCAAAATCATATATATATCTGAAAGAAGAGAAATAGTCAACTTTTTCCCTGATTATAAACATGGCACATACTTATAAACAATTCAGTTTGTGCAGAAAAGTATAAAAAAGTTTGTAAATCTTTCCAAATGGTATCACATGGAGAAAGCACTGTTCATACCTTTGGTGATCGAAGCACTGTCTCTCTTTGCCTACACACACAGGTAGTCTCGTCATGCAAATCAGCATTGATGGAATCCATCATGCATACTCACCCGGAGCCTGTGTTTTTTTGCAACAATATGGCAGTGTGACAAATAACTTTCCATAAATCTACACAGTCTCTTTTTTTTTCTGCTTATCCAACAATCAAATAAACAAATACCTTCACTTCAAAACTGGCTCTACACAGTCACTTTTATCATAATGTTAAATGTAAGCTCTAATTACATATGATAAATAGAACATAAATGGAACATCTACTTTATAATTAAAGCTTGATGTGTATTTAAAAAAATACAAGACAAACAGCAGTGTATGAGGCCTTTCTGCTGATCCAGGAGGCTGGGTGTGGTGTGTCTAAGCAGGTCAGGAGTGTGCTGGTGGACCATCAAACATGTTGGGAGGTTATGGGGTGGAGACAGAAGGGCTCAGCAAATCCAGCCTTGATCTCTTTTTATAGTGCTACCAGTCTCTCTTGGGTTTTTTGTTTCATTCTTTACACATTTTAATGGTCCTATTTGCACTTGCCTTCTGGACCATGCGGAGAGTATAGAAATTCCAGATATAGCAGCAAATAGCCACAGCCTGAGCTCGAAGGAGTGTATCCACTGGGGGTGGGCATCCCGGGGACGATTCTTTGCTATCCTGTGAGGGTTGAGTCCCTCCTATTCCAGTCTTCCCAGTGATCCTAAATGAGCCAGAAATAGGCATTTATATTTGAAATCTCTTCATTTTTAAATGCAGGTAACTACTATTTTTTTTAAATCAAAAAATGAAACATATTGGAATTTTCTGTGGTTGTCTGGAAGCCAGTCTGAGATCTCTGGTCTACAAAGCCATTTATTTGTATCTATTCAGTCTAATTCGGTTCTAAAAATATTCACTGACTGCATCAGTCTGTGTGGTGGTCACTATGCAAAAGAATGGAAATATGAAGATGAAAAGTTATGATCTGTGCTTTGAGTGAAGCAGCTCATAGTTTAGAGCAGAGTTGTTCTCAAAATTTGATCCCCAAATCAGCAGCCACCATATGGCCTGGGAACTGATCAGAAACGTAGATTCAGGGGCACACACCAGACCCACTGAGTCACAAACTGTATTTTAACAAACCCTGGAATCTCGGTTCTATAGCGAGCCTTTCCAGTGGTTCTGATGCTTGCTGAAGTTTGAGAACCACAGGTCCAGAAGGGAGTCAGATGTACAAGCAGAGGTGTGGTATGAGTCAGGGAGGTTTTTCTTTTCTTTTTTATTCTTTGCAGGGTTGGGAATTGAACCCGAGGCCCTGCGTGTTCTAGGCAAGTGTCCTACCAGTGAGCACATCTCCGGCTCCTCAGGGAGGTTTTTCTGAAGTGGACAACTCTGCCTGAATCTTGAAGGATGAGTAGGCATTGGTTGGGTCAAGACAGGGAGGAGTGTCACAGGGAGATTGGCAGCAGAAGATAGTGAGGAGGGGAGAGTCTGTCAAGGGCACATTTGGGGAATGCAAGCAAATGCCCACTAAAGCCACTCTGGGAAATAGAGTTGCTACAGTTTGGTTCTTGGCTGTGTCTGAAGGCCTATGTGTTAAAGGCTTTGTCTTCAGGATGGTGCTACTGGGAGGTAGTGAAAGAAGTGAGACTTCATGGGACATCTTTAGGTCACTGGGGGTGTGCACTCAAAGGGGATTGTGAGACCCTGGTCCTGTCCTCATTCTTTTTTGCTTCTTGGCAATGAGGTGATTGATGGAGAAATTGATGATTTCTCCATCAATCACTCCTGCTACCACCACCGGGCACCTCCAACCAAGGCGCAAAGGCCATGAGTCTGCCTGATCATGGACTGGGACCTCTCAAACCATGAGCAAAGACAGACCTTTTCTCTTTATGAATTAACTATCTCAGGCATTTGTTGGGATGGGAAGCTGACTCACCCAATAGGGGGGAATAAGTTGGAATCAGTTTTTTTTTTTAATTTTTAAAAATTCTAATTAGTTATACATGACAATAGAATGCATTTTGACACATCATACATAAATGGAGTGTAACCTCTCATTCTTCTGGTTGTACATGATGTAGAATGACACAGGTCATGTAATCATACATACACATAGGGTAATAATGTCCGATTCATTCTACTATCATTCTTATGCCCATGCCCCCTCCCCAACTCCCACCCCCCTACCCCTCCCCACCTTATTGTGAGTTAGCATTCACATATCAGAGAAAACATTCGGCCTTTGGTTCTTTGGGGTTGGCTTATTTCACTTAGCATAATATTCTCTAGTTCCATCCATTTACTGGCAAATGCCATAATCTCATTCTTTAAGGCTGAGTAATACTCTCTTGTGTACATGTACCATAGTTTTTTTTTTTTTAATCCATTCATCTATTGAAGGGCACCTAGGTTGGTTCCATAGTTTAGCTATTGTGACTGGAGCTTCTATAAACATTGATGTTGGAACCAGATTTTTGATTCCAGGCCAAGTGAGCTGGCTTGTGTCTTATAGGTGTTGGGACATCCCCAGAAACCTTTTAGCAGGAAGTTGTGGCATCAGGTCTGCATGTTGGAAAATAACACTGGTAGCAAGGGTCATGTTCCTTCTGGGTAAGGGCAACTCTGCTGGTACCCTGCTGGCCTAGATCTTGATTCCTGCCTCTCCTGGCCTGACTTGGAACTGGGTCAGCAATTCTCATCCATGGACAGAGTGTCAGGTGGGGAGGTCCCCAGCTGAGTGGGACTTCATGGGACGTCTTAAGGTCACTGGGGACTTTATGGGGCTCTGGGAGAACCACACTCCCCCAGGTGGGTGCTCATGTTCTCAGCCATTGCGATCATCTCTGTAATTTTGCATAATTAAGTGCAGTCCATCAGTTTCTGCAGCAGAGGTTTTGAGAAAAATACCCCCATTCTATTATTTTCTTCAGAGATCTATGGTGTCAAAAGAGGAAACAGCTGAACTCAGGGATCCGGGGAACTCATGTCTACAACTAACCTGGACTTGTTTCTGCTCTTCCCCTGCCCTTTTCTCCCTTCTTTTTATTTTATTTATTTTTTTGTTATAACTTTGATTCTAGAAAACTCCAGAGAGTTATCCAAGTTTTTCAAGTGCTCATAATGTCTCTCAGACTTAGCTATGATAATTTCATGCAAGGATGTGAAATTATGCCTAAAGACTTCTCCTGGGAGAGCAGGATGGTGTTCTGAAGTGTTTCAGAAGTACCTCTGCTTGGAGGCAGGAATATGAATGCAAATGATTTCCATTCAGGTGGCAGTTCCACAAAAGGCTTTAGGAGACAAGAAAACACCCATTTCTCATGGAGCACCTGGGCCCTTTTTTGAGTTGAGAATCCTTTCTTCTAAAATGTATTTGGTCCAGAGCCTAGGAATCTGATCACTGTCTTTTCTGTTTAGAAATGCCGTGGTGTGGGAGATGACAGCAGCTGGATGAAGTGTCACCTCCCCCTGCTGGTCATTTTTTGTCTAATGTCATATTTGTAATATACAAGGAGAGTGGAGACAGGAAGAGACCGAGGTTGAGTTCATTAATTTTAAAAAAAAGTTGTCCCAATGTGTAGTCAACGTTTAATGTTTACCTTTGTGTGACTGCCAAAGGAATTTTGTGACTCCTTTCACTCTTTGCAAAATGATATTCAGGAAGTTGATATTTCTTTTGTCTGCCTACTACAACTTTTTATATAATAATTATTATACTAGCTATCTTTTATTCTGAATATGCATTCATTATGTTTTTTCCCCCTGAGCTAAAAGGAATGGGGTTTTCCTGTTGGTTGCTTTGGATATACATTCAAGCAGATCACAAATATTTCTGTCTGTCCTATTTATATAAAACAACCATAGTGTCATCTTTATGAAAATTAGAAGTGATACTTAAAGTGAGCAAAACTAAATAACTGAGTTTTTTTTTAATCCACAAACATGGGTTCATAAATTACAGGGAAAATTAATTGTGACTTCAGGTACTGGATGGAAAATTATAGCCAATTTTCTAAGGAGGAAAACTGCTCTTCAGAGAAGTTTTATGACCAAGTTTTTCTGGGCTAGTTCTCTCGGCAGTTTTGTCGATTTCCCTTTATGAACTCTCCTGTTTGTTAACATCCAAATTTAAGACTTTCTAACCAAACACAACTTTGTCATTATCTTCTGAAATCCCTGCCTTGGCTTTGCCCCCATGGATCTAAGAACACTGGAATCATTTTAGGAGTTTGGTGTGCTTTTGTGTGTTGGGGGACAGTCCCATCAGAGGAGGCCCAGGGTCGAGGATGTCCCTTATATGGAAAGTTGTACATGTGCTTCTTATTAAGCAGATTCAAGTCAGTTACTTTCTCCAGGCATATTTGATTAGATGTCATTTATGATCTCTCCAGTTTATTCAAATGTTCTAATCAAAAGGACTGAAACATTGACCTCATTTAGGAATTGAGAGTAGCAATGGAAATCCAGAAAGGGTAAAATTGCTTTTATCTACTTTAAGGCTCAAATTTATAATGTTGCAGCATCAAGAGAAAAGCCTGTATCTTGGTATCTTGGGCATATTCTGTAGATATACATGATGCCTTGTTCTTTCTTTCTTTCTTTCTTTCTTTCTTTCTTTCTTTTCTTTTCTTTTTTTTTTGTGTACCTTGTTCTTAATTGCATGTCTGTTTTTTTTCCCTAGTTGCAAATGAAGCTGGAGATAAGAACGCTAGACCACTTGCCCGCTTCTCCCGTGAGTAAATCTTATTTTACTAATTTCCCGGGCTCCTTCAGAACCTGTTCTCCAGAGGCCTTTGCTTACATGGTTCACCCCAATAATCTGGTCTGGTGTTAACACAGTTATGTCAGCAATGTCTTCAACCTCCACTTGAGCCCCATCACAGGGGAACACTCTGGGCTAGGGGCTTTTTGTTCCTCACAACTGTGGTTTCCAAACTGTGCTCCAGGGCTTTGCTATCCCAAGAATGGTCCTCAGAGCTTCAGAATCAACCTCACTTCTGCTTTTGAGGAACACAGAGCCTCAGGCCTCCCACCATGGATGTTTTGAAGCTGACTCTGTTTGAATAAATCCTCAGGAGATTCCTGTTCACATTAGGGTTTGAGAAGCACTATGCCAGGAATGTCCTCAGAGTGTACGCAGTGGGTGGTTCTGAATGAAGACACAGGGAGGAAGGGACTGTGAAGTGCCTCTAGCTGTCTGGGTCGATGCACATCTAAAAGCATCATCACGGCCTAATGTGGATTTTATGTACTTGCACCACCAGCTGTGTCTCAGCCTAGTGACATTTTTTTTAGTATTTATTTTTTTAGTTGTAGTTAGACACAACACTTTTATTTTATTCATTTATTTTTATGTGGTGCTGAGGATCGAACCCAGGGTCTCGTACGTGCCAGGTGAGTGCTCTACCGCTGAGCCACAACCCCAGCGCAGCCTAGTGACATTTTGCAGCTCAGGTGGATGGAATGGTTTTCCTTAGATGCTGGGATATTCCTAAGGCTGCAGTCAGGCTGGGGTGTTTCCCTCAAGTCCTCTCTCCAGGTCTTGATCTCAGAGGGGGAGCAGGAGTCAAAAGCCTCACAGAAGTTTCTGTGCCAGTGTGGCCAGCAAATTGCAGGGCAAATGATCACCCTCCCTGGAATGAAAGCCTGGATTCCACAAGGGCAGCAGGAACACCAGAGATGGAGTGGGGCTGGGCAGAGGTGCTCCCCAAACCTGCTGGGCCTCCAGTGGAGGAATGGTTGAGTTGGAAATCAAAATAGATGCAGTCCACCCCCGGCTCTCATTTTTCACTTGGTGCAATTTTACCTACAGTTTCTGGGCTTCAGTTTTCCCAAATGAAAAACAGAGAAGTCATAACATTATTAAAAAGGTTGCCATCTTTTGAAATCGCGGCTTGAGAAGAGAGCCACTGTCTGTGCATTGCTCATGGAGGGTGGATGATGTCTGAGCGTGACACGGCTGGAGTGAACCCTCAAACATAGAAAGTATGATTTCTCAATTTCTCTCCATTTACAAGGCTTCTAAACTCTGCCTACTACCTTTTTTTTTTTTTTTTTTGGAAAGGCTTCGAAGTTTGGGTTTGATTTCCTAGAAATGATTTTTATAGAGCTATAATAACGTATGGTAATGAAAGAGCACTAAGTGCTCACATTTTAGAAACTGCGTGATAAAACACCGGCTTCTCATGGGCTCTATTTTTCACTGCCCTCCTACCTGGAATCATTAAGTCCAAAATAAGCATTTCATCCCACAGCTCAATGGGAATGATGAATATGCATTTATTCCCTTTACTTTCTTATCTCTGGAGCAAGACTTGGGCATGTTAACAAGCTGGAATCATAACTGACCCCGCAGGACAGCACTGGGTGGGGTGGGCCCCCCATGTGAGTCCTGACTCAGTCTAGGAGGGAGCAGGGAGGGTCTTTGAACCCTGAGGCCAGAGTGAGGCCCATAGCAGCGAGTCCCCTCACAGACAAAGGTGACTTCTCTGGTGAATGGTTTCTGTGACTTCTAAGCTGTGTGACTTGAGTTTGAAGGATGATGTGTCAGTTGAAAGCATCTTAGCTTGAGATTAGAGAGGACACGGGAAATTAAAAAAAATCTATACTGGAAAAAAGTGATCAGGTAAATTAATTAGGTTGGGCTGCTTCAAGGGGGAAAAAAAATGGAAAACAATCTCTGACTTGGTACGATGTCTTAGAAAGAAGTCAGTTGGCACATTGGCACATTACCTACTACATCTTTTTGTAGTAAATACTAGAGGGGAAAATTAGGTAGCTTTTAAGAAGGAAAAACAAATTTCAATGTAGCATTGTCCAACTGACACTTCACTTTATTACACTGAAATGAGTGAAGTGTTCAATTTGGAAATATGGGGAGGATTTGGATGATAAGCTTTTCTTTGGAGACTAGAAAATGAAAAACTGCAACATTTTCTAATTTTTGCATCCAACAAGGCAGATGTAAAGCTCTCCCAATATGCATTGCCCAGTATGGATTTAGGTGCAATGGAAATGGTGAAGAAGACCCTCTGCTGCGATGATTGGATCCCTTTCTGAAGGGTCAGAGAAATGCTTGGAGTGGGGAAGGAGGATTAATTGGTTGTGCTGATGGACCCTGTAGAGTGTCCTGTCAGTCTCTGTATCTTATCAAAGGTCCTTCCACTGCCCCTGCCCCTGCCCCTGCCCCTATTCCATCATTTCTGGCTCTCACTTTGGATTTTGATCAACTTGACTTCTATCAGTGCATCTGCCTAGCAACCCTGGGCACATGGAACAATGCTGATCATTCTCCTAGGATCTGGGGTGGGAAGAAGAGGAGGGCTGGGGGTGAGATTCAAAGGCAGTGGAGAATATGCTCCTTTGATAGGTAGAGGAGAATGACAATGTTCAGGAGAGAGGACTTTGACTCTAAAGGGTATATGAGCTGGGGATAACTTGGCTTTAGACCACCAGTTGGTTTGAGAATGGCACCATCTTGAAGCTAGCTGTCCTGAGGCTGGAACCTGGGTGTGTGAGGACTTCCCCTCTTGGCAATTGGTAGGTGAGCTTCTTTCCTTAGGGGGCTAGGGTTTGTGTTTTCTGTGGCTTGGGGGCTTGGAGGTCTGCCAACATAATAGTGGAGGTGCTAAACAGTCTTCATAGATCTGTGTTGTAGTGACATCCACTACAATTATGTTCACCTGTGTGGGGGGGGAAGAACTTCCACAAATACCATCTTCCACCAGCTCACTAATATCAGAAATTCCTCATGATAAGGGAAAAACTTTAAGACTTGAAATGCAAATTCCCATGGGAGATAGTAATTCTTATTATCGTGAAAATGATTGATAGCAGGCCTTTTAATGTCTTTCCCATGGACACCTGTTCTGTTAGAAGGATCAACTGCTCAGTTATAGGTCCTAGCTGGGCAAGGAGCGCCCAGAGGCCATGAAGCCAGACATCTGGGACTTCTAGGATGGAGTCACCTGGTGTGAGGCTGTGTCAGAGCTAGGAGAGTCTGTGACAAATATCAGGAGCTTGAGTTGAGGGTGGACAGATTGTGGAACAGAACAGTGAACACAAGGAGAAGAGAAATTGCATAGGAGTAAGGACTGAGAACTGCCAGGAGGGGTGGGCTGTGGCAGGGGAGGGCTTTTTTTTTAGTTCTTAGGGGCATGTACTGGGGCAGAGAGTTAACCACACTGAGGGCCCAGGCAGGCACGATTATGTTATGTTATGGGGAACTAGAAATAAACTCGTAGATATGGAGGGTGTTATGGGGAACTAGAAATAAACTCATAAGGTATGGAGAACAGAATGGTGAGGCTGAGGAGAGTAGGAAATTGTTGTCCAATGGATATTAATTTTCAGTGAAGCAAAGGGAATAAGTTCTGGAGATCTGATGTCCAACATTATGCCTGTAGTTTACAATGTGGGATTCTGCACTTGATGTTTCAAATTTATTTTTTATTGGTGTATTATAATTATATGTAATAGGGGGATTCATTAGGCTACATTCATACATGCACTTTACATAATCTGATTGCTCTCATTCCCCAGTTTCTTCCCTTTCTCTCCCATCCTTCCCCTGATACTACCTTTGTGTACTTTAAAATAAGAGGATAGCTCTTCACTGTTAGTACCCTTTTTGGGACCCCTCCCATGCTGTGAGAGCTTTCCTTGCTTGCTTCTAATAAATCTGCTACTGAGTTCTCAAAAAGAAAAGGAGAGCTCTTATGTTGATTTTTTTTTTAAAATCACAAAACCCAAGCAGCCAAATAAATATAAAACAGAAGAACATAAGGACATTTTTTGAAGGAGATGGATGTGTTTAGTACTTTGGTTGCTGTGGTAGTGTAGGAGGCATATTCATATGATCAGAATCACCAGAATGCACACTTTAAATGTGTGCAATTATTTTGTACCAGCTATACCTCAATAAAGCTTAATAAGTGGGGAAGAAGGGCTAGGACGGGGCTAGATTTAGATATTTCTTGATTTCTCTTAAACAAACTTAAGTATTCCTGAAAATGTAAGCTCCTGTGAATAGCGCTAGGTCCCACCTCAACAATACTCAAGAACTAAGCATCTCTAGTTCCCATTTATCCCAGCAAAAAAGTTATCTTGACAGTGGCAGCTGTAGAACTTTTATGTATGAAGGGCTCTGAGGCAGTAATCTAGCTCAGTGATATTCAAAGTGGAATCCCCGGGAATTATTAGAAAGGCACGTTCCCAGGCCCATCCCAGATCTGCTGGGTCAGAAACCTTTGGAGTGGGTCCCAGCCACCTGTGTTTTAGGAAGGTGCATCAGTGGCTATGATGCCCATGAAAGCTTGAGACTCTGGCAGTGGAGCTGGGCAGAGGCCAGGATGCAGTGTTCTAGTTTAGTTTACATATTGCAGAATAATACAATTAGCAGTTTTCTAGAGCACACATGAAGTCACTTATATGTAAGATGAAGCCAAAGTCAATTGTCCTTATCCAAGAACAGTGTGTTATCACAGCTATTGTTTTAGTTTTTTTGGCAGAGTTTTGAGGGTCTGATGGAGACTGTTGGGAGGGGTCTAACGGTCCCCGCATCCTACCTACCTCTTGGAGCTGGACATGCTCCATACCATCTCTTGGATCAAATCCTCTTTTTATTTTTAAGTCATCTCCTACCTTGTCCTGTTGTAAGAGCTTGGCTAGTCACAGCTCCTTACCTGTACCTGTAATCACCCTTCACACTCTGACCTGGGCCATCATCCTCAT